ATGGGATTCAGAGCTTTATAGGAGAGACTGCCTGGGCCTGGCTGCTAACAGTGCTCCCTCCGTAACTACACAATTCTTAGAAATCGCATACATATAGCCTGCTCTTATCTCCCTTCTATTTGATAAACCTTGGAGTAGTGAAGTCCTTATTTACCCCCATAGGGTACAAACTTGAGGATCTTTGACTTGAGCCAAATCTAACCCAAAGGTTGATTTAGTGGCCAAGACTTCACAATCAGAAATTTCACAGAAAAATTCAGAATCCTAGTTCCTCTTGAAAGAAACTGTAAAAGCTGGGACCACTGGACCCACTTTCCCACATGGCACAACCTATGGGGGCTGAAGAGTAGCTGCCTCCTTGAGAAGAGGCACACACTCTACTGTGCCCTACTCCTCACCACCCCCTATTGCTCCTGATAATTGGCCAATTCAGTCATCTCCTTTTATTGCCTGGCCTCCACAAGCTTGTCAGTTTGTGATCCCATTTCTCCAACCTCCTCTTTGGCTCTCTGCTCAGTCCATTGCTTCTGGAGAGATGCGAGTTGCTACAGAGGGTGTGAGGAATAAATCTGTACAAGCAATACGCACCAAGCCCGCTAGTGATGGTGCATGTGGTCCTGTGCCATTCCACAGGCTAGAGAGGAAGAAAGTCAGGACTTTGCTTCTGAGCTCCAGGCTCACATATCTAACTGCTTACTTGACATCTTTGCTTGGATGCCTCACAAGCCCTTCCTTCTTTCTGTACCCCAAACTGATCTTGTAATCTTCCCCTAAGAAATGACTTCTTCCCCACGTCTTCCCACGTGGTGTCTGGCACCACTTTACCCAGGTGCTCCTTCACCCCCCACGTGAGCCAACACCAAGTCCCGAAGCTCCTCCCACCGCCACCTCCTCGTTCTCACCATCTCCATCTCTCACCTGCTGCTGCCACAGCCGGTCCAATTATCTCCCGCTTCCTCCCTAGTCTTCCTAACCCACTCTCTAGAGAGAAGGCAAAGCGACCCTAAAGATATTAAATCAGAATCACCTTCCTCCCCTACTCAAAACTCGTCACTCCTTTCCCCTTGCCCTGAAATAAAATCCTAGCTCCCCACCTTGGCTTATGGGTCTTGTATGTCCTGGCCCTGACAACTCATCACCCTCCAAGCTAAATTCAAGTGATGCTGGCCCTCCTTCAGCTCTTCAGACACACCGAGTTCTTCCCTGCCTCAGGGCCTTTGCACGTGCTCTGTGCATAGACCACTCTCCTACCACCATCAAAAGAGACAGCAAGACAGAGAAAGGAAGGGCATCATTCTTCTCTTTGCTGGACCTGCTCCAGGTCCCAGTTGGTAAGTCACATCCTCAGCAAGACTCTCCCTCCAACGCAGGTCTTCCAAGTACTCTCTTGGCATGGTTTTGTTGAAGGAGTGAATCCAAGAGATGAGCTCCTAATCAGCCACCACGTCTTACCTAATAGTCTATGTGTCATTCCAGATTGCCCTTGTCTGGCCTCCCAGACCCACCTATACCTCAGCAGTGGTCATGCCAAACCATCCCAGTCTACTTTGCACCTCCAGTGCCCTGAGCTACATCAGGGCAGGGACCGTGTCCATCTCACCCCTCGTTATACTATTGGCACCTAGCACAGTACCTGGCACAGCCGTAAGTCCCCAACAAAATATTCGCCAAATGAAAGAGTCGTGAGCTCTGAAAAGCATTTAAGGTTTGGAACAAACTTTCTTCCAAGACCAAGTGACATTCAGGACAGAAAAAAAGAAAAAAGCTGAACACAGCATATACTTAAGATTTTAATTTTGTATTTAAAGAAAGAGAAAGAAACGGTCTTGTACTCATTTTATTTTCATATAAAGAGGAGCATTCAACCACTAGGCATGCAAAAAAAGATGAAGTTTTATAGTGTGGCAAATAAAGAAGAGAAGGGTGGGGACCGATAATTGAGAGGGGGAAAGGAGCCGTGGTACAGTATAAAAATAGAAACAGATGGTGAGATAAAGAGAGAGACAGATCAAGAGAGAAACCAGCAGAAGGTTCTAGCATGGTACAAAACAGGGCTTCTTCTGGGAACAAAGGGGCGCCCTCCGGATTTCGAAAGGGGTTTTCGCACCTACTTAAAGGTTAAGAGCTCCTGTCTTCTTCAGGGCCTTCTTTTCTTCATTTTGCAAAGAAGTTTTGTTAAAAACTGACTACCTACACTGAAAATCAGGGGTAAGCACATTTCATTTGGAAGAGCACACGAAGTGTTCAAAGGAAAAACATTTTCACTTTGAGGATATGGCTGCAGATTTTTTAAGTCCCACACTGAGTTTTCAAAGTTACGAGTAAGAGTAAGGACGGGTCCCTGGGGGCGCTGGAAGGAGGCGCGTGAACGTTAAGCGCCACGGAGCGGAGGCTCCTGAACTGCGCATCTGGCCCCCTCTCCCCCCTGACCTGTCCACGCCCCAGCCCTGACGGACGGGGGAGCAGAGCTCAGCGCCGTTAGCGGCCTGACCTCACTGGTCCACGCTAACTGGACCGGGGGGTGGCACCCTTCCCAGCCAGGGCCCATGAGAATTTCCCTGAGAATCAGGATTCGGGCTCCAATAAGCTGGGGTAGGGGCTGGAATTGGGTCAGCATAGGAACTTCAGAGGCAGGAGGTGTGGGCGGTTTCTCACCAGGCTCTCTCTGCCCCGTGACAGTGAGGAGGCAGGGGAAGCTGGTCTGCAGAGAGACGCGAAGATCAGGCCAGCAGTGCAGCAGGCAGAGCCAGCCACCAGGGTCCAAATGCAACGTCCACCACCCAATAACTGTGACCTTGAAGGAAGTTCCTTGACATCTCCTTGACCTAACCGTAACCTGCTCCATAGGGCTCTTTAGAAGATTAAATAAGTTAACACATACAGCACTTGGAACAGGGTCTGACATGAGGTGAATGCTCACTAAATATTAACTGTTATTACCTTCTTGCTAAACTGTAGTAAGCTCATGAGGGTGAGGATTTTTGGCTGTTTTGTTCATACCATGTCTCAGAATCTAGAACCATGCCTGGTACATAGTCGTGCTCGACAATTGTTTGTTGAAAGAAAATGAAGAAGCCCTAAAAGGATAGAGCCTCCTAACTCATCTCACGACTCAGCTACTACCCCCAAAGGAACAGTCAGAGTGGGGTCTCATCAAAGCCTAAATCAGATCATGTTTCTTTCCTGCTTTTCACATCTCAGGATAAAAGCCAAACTCTTCCCCATGGCTTTCCAGGCCCTTCATGCTCTGGCCCCTTCCTGCCTCTCTCCTCTATCCCTCTGGCCCCTCACACTCCAGTTGCGTTGGCCTCTTTAAGGTCCTCTGATGTGGTTCCTTCTGCTTCCTTCGGCCTCTGGGCATTTGCACACACTGTCCCCCCGTATGCATCCTCAGTTCTACTCTCTTCCTCAGGGAAATCTTAGCAGATGACCTTCCCACCTACATTGGCTCCTCCACCCAGAGCCCCATGTACTTTTCCTTCATGCCACTTGCCACAATTTGTAATTTTATCATTTCTGTGATTAGTCATGACTCTATTCCCCTAGAACATGAGCTCCACAATGAAACAGATCATAAGTTGTTTTATTCTTCGCTGTATTTCAATGTCAAGTACAGTATATGACAAAAAGTAGGTGCCCAACAAATGCTCGGAGAATGAATCCACTTGTTGAATGGATTGACTGAGCAAAAAAGAAAGACTTGGGTGGTGACTTCGAAGTCTGGGTTCTACCGGCCTGGTTTTATGCAATACCCCGTAGCCTCCTCATACAATCCTCTTTTCCTAACCTGTTTTGGATTCTTTTCTCTATTACCACCAAAGGCTTTGACTTCAACACACAGACTAATGCCATCCTCTAAGCCAGGAGGTTCTACCTGCCTCTAGAGGAAGACAACAAAATCCAGAGTCTGTACAATGTCCGGTACATACAATCATCACAATGTCAGAACACGGTCAACAATTACTAGACATGCAAAGAAAGGAGAAAATGTGACTCATGGTCAAGAAAAAGAAGCAATGGATAGAAGTGGATCCCAAGGTGACTGTGATGTCAGATTTAGAAAAAGCAACTGCCAGGATGTAAAATTCCTATATTATCATCAAAGTCCTTAACCAGGAGTACACAACCAAAAAAGGCAGCCTGTGAAGATTTTGGGGCATGGGCTTTGTTTGTTGTCTGAATTCTACTCATGTCATATAGCTTTTAAGTAAGTAGTTTCAGGGGACATTCAAGAATCTGTATTTTTAACAACTGCTCTAGAGAGTTCTGATGTATACGGCATCATATTCTTATCATAGAACTCTTATCTATGTATCGTATAATACTATCATCATATAATACTTATGCTTTAAGGAAAACACAAAAAATGTTAAATTAATTTAAAGGTATTAAAGGTCTGGTTGAGTTAGTTGGTGGACACTAGTCAGCAGTGGCTGGTTAACCAGACTATACAATTAAGAATATTTCAATTCTAATTATTCTGGAGAAGAAAGAACACTTCTCTACTTATTTTGAGAAAAAAAAATTTGAGGTTGAATTAAAAGCCACAGACATAAAAGATAACTATTAAGGAAAAACAGGAGGAAATGCTCATGGTACAAAGTAGAGTTTAAAAAAAAAATCAGAGTACAAATTACTATAACATCAAGTATATAAATGTACAGTAATAGACAATGCCATGTTTGTGAATAGAAAAAAGGCAACAGGAAATATATCAAAATGTTAATAACAGTTATTTTAAGTAGTTTGATTATGTGTAGTTTTAATTTGTTCCTACTTTCCCATATTTTACAAGAATATATTGATTTTCCTCTATAGGCTCTCATCTAACATTTAAACACAAAATGATGGCTTCAGAAACCTTCTGTCAATACACAAACATCTGCAAAACTCTAGCAGTTTCTTAATCAGAAAGAGAAGAGAAGTAGGTTGAGCATGAAGATCATTTCTATTCTTATCCAGCTCAAGAAGACTTTCTTCTCTGGCTTCTTAGTAGCTGATTAGCTTCAGATACTGGTTTAAATTTCCCATCCCTCAGAGGAGTAAGAGGCTGAGTCATATACCTCAATCTGACAAGCAACAGGCAGTGGCTTAGCAGAAGTAAACCAGCTAGTATCAAATGAGGAACACAAAATAAAAAGAATTCAAGTCCATACCTGAACCACAGGATGGCCACCGGTTGGAGCTTTGACTGCCCCTCGGCTGCCTTCTGTCTCATAGTGGGCTCGGTGATGTGGCTTGGGCTGCACCTCAATCCGCAGCTCATAGGAGCCTGACTGGTGGGAGAGTGGCCATTCGAGTGGAGGGAGGGATGCAGTCACTGGGATACTGAAGGAGGAAACAGAATCAGTCGTATGTACAATAAATGAGAACCAGTCAACCTGTACAATAAACATAAATGGCCCCTTTTCTGAAAATCATGACCAGTGGGCATATGAATAAAATGCTGGCTGTTGGGAGACACATATATATCAAACATGATAGGTAGGGCTCTTCAAAAGATGGAGATCTTTTTCTTTGCTTTCTCATCTTGACGAAGACAGTGTAACTGAAATCTCAATTCATGAAGCTAATTTCATTGTATGTTAGTTCTAGCATGTTTCTAACTGCCAAACCTTCTTTTTCTCTAAGAATTTTTAAGAGTATCACCTCCCATCTGTAAAAAATAAATAAATAAATAAAAAACCCTTAGCAAGGATGTTCTCTTTTTCCAGAGTGTGGGAGAAGGAACACTAAAGTGAAGATCAGGGGCCCCACACGTGTCACTAATTTGCCATGTGACTTTAGGCAAGTAAATTCACTTTCTTATTCACAGCCTCCTATAACCACATAACAAATGGCTTAACTAAGTCATTTTTAGAGAGAGGACAGTTCCAGTCACAGTTATTATTTATCATGTTGAGTATAAAACATCCAACCACAGAGAGGTATCTAGTTTTGGTATGGATGAGCCAAACCACTCAGACTCCACATAAATGAAGAGTAAAGGTCAAGGGCATGGCTGGAGTTACACACCCAAGTTCAAGACCCAGCACCACCTCTAACTACCTCTGTGACTTGGAGCAAATGCCTCTACCTCCCTAGGCCGTAGTTTCCTCAACTGTGAAATGGGAATACTGAGATTATATAAAAGAGCTTAGCATAATAAGTGCTCCAAAATTATTAGCTATAATTTTTCTGTATATATTGTATATTTCAAATAAATAGTTATTTCCTATAGACAATCTGAGTTAGTTACAATATTGGATATACATGCCTTTACAACCGAGATGTAAAGATCTCTGAGGGCATACCATTATGTTTCATTTTATAACAGAATCTCAAACCTATCAGCACACACAACAGGCACTTGATATTTGGTTAGAATTATGTCATTTAAGAGTTGACTGAGGTCTTGACAATCTAGAGTATTCATTCCTTCAGAGCCTCAGAGAACTTAAAGACATTTTCCCCAAGATCACAGAGCAAGACACAATCAAAACTCTAACTTATGTCTCTTGACTCCCAGTCAAGTGCTCCATTCACATCTCTATACTGCCTCTTTATCTTGCTAATTTATTTAAAATAGGTCCAAGAAATTATCTCATTTATGGAACGACTCTAGAAAAATGCCTGACATTTGAGAGGTTCTAGTGAATATTCAGTGGGTGGGTGAGCGGATGCATAGATGGATGGATGAGTGAATGAGCAGTTTTATTTCAAAGAATCTCTATATATTCGAAGTAGCTTTGAACTTGCAAATGCATGGATTTGTGTCACTTTGTCCTGATTTTTCACATATGGCAGAAATCATCAATCCAATCAGGCTATTCTTTCCCACAAAGCCCAAGGCTGCTAGAAGCTGACATTATCCACTTGACTTAGTTAAGCACTTGCAATGAAGCTAATTCTAGGCCTTCTCTATCAGAGCAATATCAAGGGGAGAATGGAAGGGGATGGTAACCCATAAACTCCAGCACTGCCAGAGTCCTACTTGAATTTACAATCCAATTACATCTTCACTATGCAAGCAAATCTCCATTCCTTCCTTCCCAACTGTACTGCCCACTGAAGCCTCTCTTACCCTGATATCTTAGGGTGCCCAAATGCCCCTATTTCTACCTTAGTTACATGCCAACATACCTTCAAGCTTCCGCTTATGGCCAAGTTAAAATTTTTTAATATGCAAAATAAGGGTCATAAGAAAAAAAAAAAAAATCACTTCACCCCTGTGTCTCTTAAAGTATCAAAACATTTAGTGAGCAGAAGATTCAGTGGGATATCCCTAAGTATCAACAACTAATTTTGTTTGTTCGGGGATAAGTCTTTGACAACTGAACTGAAATACTAAGAATCAGACCACTGAGGTCAGTCTGAAATCCTGCATTTGAATTCCAGCCCTCTGCTGAGTTGTCCACACACCTTGAGATAGATGCTATCATGAGACTTCCTGAATGCCCCATCCTCTCAATCTGATAGAAAATTCTTGCAAATATCTCATTGGCTGGCACAGACTGACACATTACAACTGCATTTTATATTAATGTTCTTCCCCGGTCCCAATCATTACATAAGTCATGTTTTAGAGATTGATTTGTAGCAGACAGAGAGAGGAGTCAGGAATCCTGGATTTGAATTTCCAACTCGGTCATTAACTAGTTGTGTGATCACAGGCATGTCACTTCACCTCTCTGAGCCCCAGGTTCTCAACCTGTGCCAAGGGTTGGTCTTGATTGGCATTTCCTAAGGTGGCTCTATGAAACTTTAGTCACAGACCTCAGAACTCTCGAGGCCAAATGGTCTTCACAATCACTGCACATCCTGTCCACAGCTGGGAGTGGCCCCTGCACAAAGGCATCGATTTAACCCTGCTAAACCCAGAAACTCCTTTCCTTGAGGGACACCGACTGGCCTACCATGGCAGTAGTGTTCTCAGAATCTGCTTTGGAGGAAATGTCAGGCTGGAAGCTTTGTACGGTCCATTTTGGTTTGGTGTGGGGTTAAGCCAGAGGGCAGGGCCTGTGGATATTCTCATCCCCACATCAATCAAAACACTCTCTCAACCATGCTCTACTTTTGCATTCAGCATTTTATTTGAAAAGGGGGGGGGGTTCCATTTGTTAAAATCATACTACACTTTGAAAACCGCTTGGGTAAGGACACTAGCATAAGGTTTCAGATTCAGATTCTTCATCTAATACAACAGCTAGAATAATATCTGCTCCTAATCACTGTGTGCCTCACTTTTCTTATCATCAAAATAAATACCAAACCAGGCTTATGTGAGAATTAAATAAAATAATACATAGAAGTCCTTAGAATTATGCCTGGCACAAGAGTCCTTAAATATTGGTGATTATTATAGTCACTGTCAGGACTCTAAAGCTATTGGGAACTCAATCTCCTAGCACAAGGCTTGTCAATGAGGAAGCAACCAAGGTACTTCCTCTATAAGAAAAGATTCCCCTATGACAATAACTCCGCACCATTTTTGTGCTTTTACTTTGTGTGGGTTCTATGCCAACAGTTTGATACACAGGGTGCCCCCCAAAAATGTATACACACTTTAACAGCTGACAGCTCAATTTTGAAAATGACATGTATTTTAATAAACACTGCCTTTATAATTATTCAAAGCATGTGTATATATTTTGGGGGGATACCCTATATATCATCTCATCTATACCTTGGAAAAAATCACCATGAGATAGGTACTATTATTATCCTCATTTCATGGGAGGAATTAAGGCCCAGAAAGGTGCTCAGTGAGAAAGAAGATCCTGATTGATTAGCGATGTCTGCCCTGGGCATGGCCTCAAAAAGGCGCTCAGTAAAATGAGAGACTGATTGATTAGCCAAGTCTGCCCTGGGCACGGCATGAAAAGATGCTCAATAAGAAAGGTGGCCCCGCATGATTAGTGATGTCTGGTGGGCTCAGTAGGATGGCAATACTAGAGATGCCCATGATCACACAGCCAGTAAATGGCAGAGTTAGGGCTCAAATCCCATCTTGAGAGAGCCCAAAGCCTACAGGCTGCTATCTGCGACTCTTCAACTTGCCAGGATTTTAAGCTCCTTGAGGATATGGCTCAAATATATTTTAGGGCTTCCCTATCACTGACTGCAGTCCTGTGGCAGGTGTCAAAAAACATCCATTCCTATTACAATAAGATAGCAAAGTGCTTCTGAGAATGCCAGATCCATGAAAGCAGACATTTTTGCCCATTTTGTACATCACTGTCTCACCAACACCTATAACGGTGCCTGGCACATAGTAGGTGTTTGATAAATACTTGATAATAAATGAATGAGTGATAATCCAAGTGCCACATGAGCAATTGCATGCATCCTATTACTACACCCTCATAACCACAGCCCAGTGAGTCATGAACATCTATACCCATTTTACAGATGGGGAAACTACAGCTCAGAGAATTTAACTTCCTTCTCAGGGTCTCACAGCCAGTAAATGGAAAGCTAGGATTTAAATGCAGTCTAGCCAACTCTGAATCCCACCCTCAGAGCCAGAAACCCTTCTCTTAACACTACATTGTGGAACAATTCGTTTTCAAGGCCCAACTCACCTGCAGATGGGAATAGCAGGCACCAGCGGCTTGGGCCAAGTCGGGGGCATCAGCAAGATGGACTCGGGGGCCGAGTTCCTCCTCTCCTCCTGTTCACAGGGCCCCAGGAACTCCATGGTCGGGTAGATGTGGCGGGGCAGGCCGGCCTTGGGCTGGGCGGCGGACACCGGGGACGGGTCGGGGCTGGTCTTCCACATCTTGGAGGGGATCCCGCAAGGCGAGTCCGGGGCAAGGCTGTTCAGGGCATCCATGAGGACAGCAGAGCCAGCCGTTGGGTGGTACCCAGCGGACGCGCCGTCGTCCTGGGGCTGCGGCGAGGGGCTTCGGGAGTGCTGGGGTGAGGCTCCAGGCAGAGGGGCAACCAAGGCCCCAGCACACGAATGCCTCCGCTTGGCACCGGGCGACGAGGAGCGGGAGGCCGGACGGGGCACGGGCGAGTGGCGGCCCAGGCAGCTGTCCTCAGCGAAGCTGGTTCGAGGTGACATTATTGGCGAGGTTCTGGGGGAATAATGAGCAGGGATGTTTTGAAACTGGGGACACAGGTCGTCGGGCCCGCCGTTATTGGGCGAGACGCAGGGCGAGGTGTAGGGGGACAAGGTGTCGGAAATGAAGCTGGCAGAGGAGCCGCTGCTAGCGGGGCTCAAGCAAAGCGGCTCGCGGTAGCCCTCGAAGCCGGGCACAGGCAGGGTGAACCTCTGGCTGGCGGCCACCCCCGCCAGGGGCGCCTGCTCCCCCAGGAGGCCAGTGTCTCTCACGCGGAGGGCCCCCCCTGCCTGCATCAGTTCGTGGGATGGAGTGATCTCGATCCGAGGGCTCAGGCCCGAGGCCCCTTCTGGCTTGGCCGGGCTCAGAAAGTTCTGGGGCCCTACCCTATCCGGCTCTCCGAATCGGCCGGGGGGCTCGCCAGAGAGACTGGCGAGGGGGCTGTATGGCTTGAGGCCATAGTCCAGGACATCATCAGGGTATGCAAGTCCGGAGTGTGGGCTGGCGACCTTATGTGCATTCGGTTCTTCTGGAAAGAGAAGGGGGGAGGGAGGGGTCTTTTTAAGCCTCTAAAACAGAACTCCCGGTGCAGAGCAATCACAGGTTGGGCTTGTCTCCTGCTGTTTGGTTTTTTCTTTTAATCCCCACCACGCCAAACCCCAAGCTGGAACCTCCTTCCCTCACAGAAGGAAAGGGAGGCTACTTCATCCCAGATTCCTCGAAGGGTGAGATCAAAACGGAAAGGTTTTCGGGCAGGAGCACCGAGCACGGCTCGGCCAAGCCGGGCGGCGTTAGCCGGAGGCCTGGATGACCAGCTGGCTGATGGCCTCTGAACCGTGGTCTCAGTGGGGCCCTTAGGAGAAATGCATTTTATTTCACAGCCTCGCCCACACCGTCATATTCACGCCCAGCTGAAGCAGAGGCTCCCCAAAACAATACTTACCCTGCTACATGCGATACACTCGGCTTCCCTCCTGCCTGAGGCTACTTTGTTTAAATGCTGGTCACAGCCCATTCAACAGATTTCCTGTCCCACCAGCGGGTCGCAACCCACAGTTTGAAAAACTCAGATCTAGGCCCAGCACACCATTCTACATGTGTGACACAGATACTGGATGCAGAGGGAGGCTGCACAGGCCTGGGGCCCAACTAGTCATGCCTGAGTGTAAGAAGTGTCTTAATTCCGAACTGGGGCTCCTGATGCATGCCTCGTCTTGTGCTGTTTTACGGATGAGGAAACTGAGGCCCTGGGAAGGGAGGAGATTCACCCTAAGCCACAGAATTAGCAGGATTAGAAATCCCACAGAGAAACCACTTGGCCCCCAAAAGTAAAGGCCCTGGCTATAGAGTCTCCCAAACTATCAAAACCGGTAGATGCAGAACTCCCTAATTTTTTCTTTAATAGTGGCCGTCTAGCTCAGGCTACTGCCGTCACCTCGAAAGGACCCATGGCTGGAGAGAGGAATTAGCGAGGCAACTAGCTATCCATTCCCACCACCCTCACCCATTCCTCCTCCAATCTCCCCAGCTCAACAGAGGCCCCTCCATTCAGCCTTGACGCCTCTCTGTCACACCCTTACGTCCAATCCATCATCAGTAAATCCTGACCACTCTGCTGTTCATTATAAACCAGATTCATGTGTTGTCCCCTCTCCCCCGCAACCACCCTGATCCAAGCCACTGTCCCACCTGGACCACTGTGGTGGCCTCTTCCCTGGCCTCCCCATTTCTACCCTTGCCCAGTATGGTCTGTTCTCCACGCAGCAGTCTTTTGAAACGTCCATTTGTGAAATCCACTTTAAAGGCTTTCCCTGACACTTTAGATGTGATCTAAAATCCTTAACACGCTTGTCCCCAGGCCCCAGCGTGTCTCACCCCTCTCACCTCTCCCCACCTCTCCCCAACCCGACTCAGCAACAGCCCGGCTGACACCTGGCTTTTCTTGAAGAAGAGCCTGCCTCCAAATTCTCGAGTGTGCTTTTCCCTCTGCCTGGAAACTCTCCCCAGAAGGTCTTTACTTGGCTGCTTCCCTTAATTCCTTCACGTGTCTGCTCGGTCAACACCTCCTTAGACTGGCCCATCAAAAAGATCCTCTCTGTCCTCACTCCAGTGTCTTTCTCCACCCCTTTTCCCTGACATCTTTTCTCCAGTGACACCAGTTACCGGCTCACATCACATCAGATACTTATCTGTTTAGGGAATTCCATCCCGCTAGATCAGGGGCAGGCAAACTACAGCCCCTGGACCAAACCCGGCCCACAGATTATGTTTATAAATAAAGTTTTATTGGAACACAGCCACTCCTATTTGTTTACATATGGTCTATGGCTTGCTTTTGCACAACAGCAGAGTTGGTAGGGGTGACAGAGACCATATGGCCCACAAAGCCTAAAGTATCTACTACCTGGCCCTTTATAGAAGTCTGTGACTGCATTAGGGTCTATACTCCACCAGGTTTGGAACAATGTCTATTGTTCAGCATTGTTTCCCAAGCACCTAGCACAGGTGCTTCTAGGCCATCCATGCACGTTCATTTGAGCAACTGAGCAAGTAAGTGAAAAAAATATGTGCAAGGGCCTGCCAGACAGAAGTGGAACCTCTTCCTAAAGTTGCCTGTTTTGGGAAGCTGGGTGGCTGCACAGGTGATCTTCCACCTCCTCGGTGCCCTTTCTGGGCCATCCTGGAGTGTGTGCTGCTGGTGTAGCTGAGCTGATCTTATAGGGTCCAGATGGTGCCCCCACCCAGGTGAGAGCCCAGAAATGGCTTCCCACGGCTTTTAGGGGAAAGTTAAACAACCTCAAAGAGGCCAGCCTGGCAGGCCCTACCTGCCCCTCTAGCCTCACCTCTCTGGCTAGATTCCAGCCAAACTGGATATCTTTCTGTTCATAGAAAGCACCCAGCTCCTTTCTGCCTCAGGATCTTTGCTCTTGCTGTTCCCTCTACCTCAACTGCTCCTTCCCCACCCATGCCGAGACCCCTTCTCTTCATAACTAAAGCCACTCATTTCCTCCAGGTAAAGCACTATGTGCCTGGGAAGACTCCCTGACCTCCTTGACCAGATCAGGCCCCATTCAGACTTCCCTACTCTGTACCATGCACTCCTCACAATTCCAGTTAAGTAATTCTGGGGTTGTTTATTGTCAGCCTCTCCCCCAACCTCCAGCTCCACCCCCACCAATCAATTAATTCCATGAGGACTCTCTCCCTCCCTACTGTATTCCTAACATGTGGACAGGACCTGCCACAAAGCAAGCCCTCAAAAAACCATCTGTTGGTTGGGTGAACGAATAAGTAGAAAGCGAGTTCAGAAAAGTCGATGTGAAATATTTAAACAACTACTCAAAGATGCTAATATCCATACCAAACAGTAAATATATAACCTCCAAGAAGGTAATTTGGTAATATCTACGAAAATCCCAAATACACATATCCTGCGAAGCAAGCAATGTTGCTTTTAGAAATTTATCCTATAGATAAAGTCTCCTCTGTGCAAAATGAAGTGTGTGTAAGATGAGTTAGTGCTGCCCGATCTGTAATCCCAAAGGGCTGGAAGCAACCTAATGCCCTTCAATTGGGGATGGGTTAACTTCTGGTTTGTTCATACAATGGGATACAATACAGCTATAAAAAGGGATGAAGCCCCGGCTGGGTGGCTCAGTTGGTCAGAGCACCGTCCTGTACACCAAAACATTTCGGGTTCAATTCCAGGTCAGGGCACATACCTAGGTTGCGGGTCTAATCCCTGGTCAGGGTGG